GAAGAGAAGCCTCTGCTGCTTTGCTGCCCGACTTTTAGGGTGGCTTCTGCTCGCAGCCCTGATGGTTGGGGCGAGCCTTGTTATCACAGGAGGAGGGTGGCCACAGTGGGCCCCTGGGAAGGGACACGCAGCACCCTCTGCCAGCCAGAAAAACCTGCCCGTAATTTTTGTATGGCTGTTGACTCAAATCTATCCCTGGTGTTATTCCTGTTATGACTTAATAGTCTGTATTTGGCTTGTTACATTTTAATGAGATTTTTCTTGAAGAGAGAACACTTTGTGGAAAGTGAAGATTTATGTTGTTTCTAGGAAGATAATTTTATTTCCAGCTAATATGCGCCACAGTGCACAGGGACTAATGCGATGCAGCCCATGTTACTAGTATGATTATTTTATATCCTATTTTCTTCCCCCCACAGAGGATTATGCCCAGCTGTGCAACATCCCCGTTCCAGGATCTCGACGGCCATATGGACAAGATGCTCTGGTTGACTTTGAGGAGCACTACACTCCAGAAACTAATCCATACTTTGTCGAAGACCGTAAGCAAGTTTCACTGTTATGTAAAAGACTTGAGAGGGGGGTTGTAACTTGGATTATTTCCCTGGAGCTGGCTTCGTTCTTCTGTTTGCTTCTGAGTAATGTGGCCTATTTATGTATTAGTTATTCCTATGACACCAGCTTTCGGTCAGGTGTTCAGGTTCAAGAGCCAGCATTGTCTAAGAGTCCAGTTGGGCTCAGACTGCAGTATTAATTTTTAATATAGTGAAATAGCTTGTGCCAAGTGTACTAAACTTATATTTACCAACAGATTTACAGCTAGAGGTCAAAAGAATTGCCAGTTTCTCTTCTCACAGATGAATTTTGCTTTAGCACATGGGACAAATTTCTTGGGAGTGCACTTAGTCTAAAAGAAAAAAAAGAGAAAGAAATAATCCCTTCGTGCCAGTTTTCCATGATTTTCCAGGAAATTTTTGTATGGGAGAACTGGAGAGCATGCAGGTTGTTCTCACTCGCAGCGCAGTGTGGTCAGAGTGTCCTTGCAGGCAGCCTGCAGCTAGGAGGAGCTGCCCACAGGGCAGGAGGGGCTGGACACAGCTGGTACCTCAGCTCTCCTCCAGGAATATCTGCCGCCTTTATGGGTTTGGCCCAGCTCACTATTGAGACATAAGGGAGAGGAATGGTTAGCAATCTCATCATCTTCCTCTGAACCAGGCAGCCTCTACAGCTCCAACAGAGCTTTTCCACAGTTTTAAATTTAAAAAAAATAAAATAAAAAAGGAGTTCTCAGAAGGAACTGATAACTTCTATTGCTTTGTATGTCTGGTCTACAAATTGCCACTATACTAGCACCTTCCCAAAGTGCTTCTCCTATACAATGGATAACTTTTAAACTAAAGCTAATGGATCAAAATAGGACAAGATGATTACAGCACATTTATTAGAAGGGTGATATATATTTCTTTAGCAGCTTACAACTTACACAAGATCATACTATGCAGATCAGGTTAATTAGTTTGTTTCTATTGAGCTCTGGAATGACCTTCAGTACCCAATAGTGAATGAGTGTTTAAGTCTAATTAATTAAAATGTCACATAGATGGAAATTACCAAAACAAAATGAAAAACCCAGAAAGATGACTAGGTAGCTGATGTGATAGATCAAATACAGAGTAGGAAGGAAGCACTTCGCAAGTTGTAATCGGTAGTGAATAAATAACACAAAACTGCGGACAGCTCTGAATCCAAAGCCTCTGTTTTAGAAGTGGAGGTGTAAGAGCTCACCTCTTCTGCTCCCATCTGCTCAGTGAATCCCACAGAGTGGCAAGCCAATGCGTGAGAAACCCCCAAACACAGGGCTGCCTGACCGTGCGCAGCAGAGGTGTGCATTTCTCTGGCAGGTTCCTAGAGGCCGTGTCCTGTGTTTAAGGCAGCAAACAGAGAGTGCCCAGTCGTAGCCCTGCTACAGTCTGCATGATCCCAGAGAGGAAGGACAGGACTTGGTGGCCTGCGGCAGGGCCATGCGCTTCAGCTTGTCAGCTCTGCACCATCAGTTTTTGCAAAGCCAAACATGCACTTTCAACCCCAGCCTAGGCCCCAGCCGGCTGCTTTGAACCAGAACTTGCTGGGCTGATGGATATTTTGGCTTTGGCCAGTTAGAATTGCAACATACTATATATGTTCCCAGTGTAAAATCAGTGATGCCTTTTATCTGTGTGTGTGTGTGAGCCCTGCTGCATAAAAATATTTTTTTATATTTTGGAAGGCCCCCCAAAACTTTGCATTTTAAAGGACCCACATAAGCCCTATGCATGTTTTCAGTGAACTGAAAATATGAAGACTGATCAGATTTCTTATTAAACTGTAATTAGACATCATGACAATCTGCTCAATATCCTCAGTACAACTACACTGCAACATGATTTGGTTCATGGAAAAAACTACTTTCCCACTTAATGTATACAATCTATTTTATATTTTCTTGAGATGTGGCATGTCTATCAGCAAATGCTTCTTTTGTCTCAGGTTAGGTGCAAAGTATGTAGCCAAGAAAGAGTGGATATGATGATAATAAAGAAGGTAAATGAAAGTTAATTAAAAAAAGGGTGGAGCAGGAAAGACAAAAGCTTGAAAAAAAAGAGGGACTCAATAGCCAGAACAGAATGGCATAAAAACAAAAAGACAGGAGAACAAGTCAAAGGTTGGTTAGAAATTCATTTTCTTATGTAGCTGAGCATATCTACATGCCACTGGTATTGCAACAAATATAAAAAGGTAAACAGTTTGTGGTATACCTATTTAACCAATTTTAGATATCCCGATTTGTTTGTGGAACTGCTATATTAATTGTATATTGTGGGGCAGAGGGAAAGATGTATTACCCATCCCACTTCATTCCACTCCATCTCCAGAAGACTTACTATCTAACCTATGTATTCATCATGCTGATAAACCAAGGCCCCTCAAATGCCAAGGACTTTTTTCTCAAACGTCTTTTTGATGTGGTGGACTGCCATCTGCAGTTGTGATACAGCACTGCTTGAAGAATGGAAAACTAGCTGAAAAACTTGTCTAGGACTAAAAGGAGCAATTCAGTCCTACAAAGCATCTCTGAACATGTAAAATAATTTGCTTTTCAAATATACACTATTCTTTATATACATAATAGTCTAGAAGCCCTAAATCAGGGAGCAGAGCCCCATCACAAGAAGCATTATACAAACCAGTGAAAACAAAGACAGCCCTTCAGCTTTGACTGCTCAGCATCTAGAATTATGACAAGCAGCAATTGGTAGTTTATAGGTATTTTTACTGGCACAAATTGCGGAACCACCAGCCAAGAAGTTACTAACCAAAACCACAATAGGAAAGCCGTCTCTAATTTCTTCTTACTTTCCTCGAGGCAGCTGAAATTGATTTTATATATATATATATATGTGTGTATATATATATATATACACATATATATGAATTTCTTGTAGATAAATTAGAATGCAACTCTAACCCCCTCACGCAACCTTTCTTTTCAAAAAGACTGCTTTAGGAATGTTCCTCCCAAACGCCTTTGCTT